GGCGGCGTCGCTGGGTGGGCGGCGGGGCCCCTCGGAGACGGTGGCCTTCCCGCCGGGCAGCTGGCCTTCTCTCTCTTAGCTGGGACGGACTGGCCCCAGGTACCAGTCGTCATCGTCATCAGGATGCCCCGGAGACTCAATTTCTATTTCTCCTTTTTTTGGTTATAGAAAGGTTGCCAACGAAGTAAGCGCACAATCAGGTTGTACCCGTCGGTATTAACGTTGCCGTCGATTCCGCTGGGTTGAGGATTTGCCCCACAGAATCCTGTGGTTTGTCTCGGGTGTTCAAAGCTGAGAACAAGCCCTTTACCGTAGCTGCGGTGAAAGTGCCGGCGGAGGTGCTTGGTTTCAGCGCTGAGGGGGGGAGCAGGGTGGTCTGTCCCGAGCTTTCTCTTCTGGGGCCTTAGTAGTGCGCTGTCTTGCAGCGTGTCTCCTAAGGGATGGCAGGTTAGCTCTTGCTTTGTGTTTCCTGCAGCTCTGGGTGCTGCATCAGCCTGCAGAAGCACTGTACTTGAGAGCGTGTGCGTTTCCTTAGCGTGCTACCTTACAGTAGTATGGCACGGAGCTGCCCCTTTGCAAACTCATCCCAGCAAAGGATGTGGAGAAGCAACAATGGAAAGAGGTATATATTAGGAAGTAGACAAGTAGTGGTACAGCCCTGTAATGCTAATATATCTTCAAAAGGTAAATGGCATGCTTACTGCATACTGAATGCTTTAAAGATGTTGTTTCACGGCAAATCTTGGTGTGTTATTTCTCTGGTAGAATTAAATATTCTGCTATAATTGTACAGTGCTTAATTTGTTGGGTTTTGCTTTTCTCAAGTAGCATGTTTAAAAGAGTTAATTTCAGATAACTGTAGATACTATATGTTAAAAGATACTAGAAATTATCAAATGTTAATGTATTCATATTGTGGCATAATGATTGCCTTAGAGCAGTTGTGAGTAACGTTCAACGTGAGATATCCTATGCTGCTATCATTTACATGATATGAATTGAGTAAGTCACTAATCTCTTTTTTACATTACGTTACAGTGCACCATTTGGTCTGCAGAGCTGCCTAGCAAGAAACACAGTATTTCAGTAATTCTAGACTTTTTATTACAAGCATTTCCATATGGTGGTTCAGATGGGAAAAGATTCTTAATTTAGACATCATGAAAATTCTTCTCAGACAAATGCCAGAGCTTAGTTAAAACCACCCACAGCTAATTCCTGGCTGAGTTTGGCTTGTAAAGTTATATTTTTTAATTTAAAATATTTTTGGAGGTACTTTTTGTGAGGTTCCTTTTCATGCAATATTTAGTTAAAGTCTGAAACCCACTGGCACAATATAATACAGATAACAAAAGCCTGCATGTGTTCAAAGAGTCAAATAAGGCAAATTCATGACAAAAAGCATGTCAAAGATTATTAAAAACACAGCTACTGTAACAGGGCCAGACGCTCAAGGTTTCTGGTCGTGAGCTCTTGGAAGCTTAGGGGGTTCCTTACTGAGGAAATACCGCAATACCCTGTTCTAAACTCTTCTTTAGCCTTCTACTGTTCATCTCTGTCAAAGGAAAGCTAACTGGCTAGACCTTTGATCAGATCTGGTTACATTCTTATGCTGTTGAGTAAGTACTAGATTTTTATCGGAAGCAGAGATGGAGAAGAGATATGTTAAGCCATTATTTTTTTGGCAAGAAGTAATGACAGCACAGACAACAAATGCATTGTGTCATGGGATATTTCTTTATCATCTGCTGTCTCCTGCTGTCCCTACAATACTTACTTCTGCTCCTCAGTAGATTTACTGCTCCAGTGATTTGACTATGAGTGCTTTCTAGGAACATATAATAAAAACTTAAATCCAAATAGATTGATTTAAACTCTTATTCAGAGAATTAAGAATGGAAATTAATTTAATACAAGTTATCTGTTCATGATCAATTTCTAAACAAAATGAGATGCATAGTGTCTATAGATAATACTTCCAGTTCATCTAAATCTCTTTGCTGCCTAGAAATTTTGTCTCCCCCCTTTTTTTTGCTCTTCTTTATGTGCATTTGTGGCTTTATGCTAGTATGCAGCTTGGGGATAAATGGAATGTATATGTCTAGTCTCCTCAGAGTCGTACATGAATTCCAGGGTACATCATGAGATGGGCCAGCATCTGCAGTACAGATAGTGCAGTTGGCCTTAAGCTCCCCTGAGATACTTAGCTTGGAGCAGAGGGAAAGGAGCAACAGATGAGAAAATGTTACAGGACACCATTTTTGTTCTCTCTTACATGTTAAAAAAACACACTACAGAAAAGCCCTTTGAGAAGGATAAACTTGTAACGCATGAAATGAGATGTTTGAGTCTGCAAACCAGAGTATGAAAGAGTCAGAAAGTTATTATAATAAAAAACTTAGTGCATATGGAGCAAAACCAATGGTTCGTTTGAGGTCTGTGCTATTCTCATTAGAGAGTGTTAGGTCTGTACTATTTCTCATTCTCATTAGACTCACCTTGCCTGTAGGGGGACTGGAATCAGGCACATTATCCTGTACCTCATCTATTCCTGGAAAGTGAAAGAATTCCTATAAAAGGCAACTGGAGTGTGAAGTAACCTTCCTGATGCACTTTCTTTTGACCATTTACAGATGTTCTATTTTTAAAGTTTTAATTATGTTGGTTAATATAACTACTGTAATGTCTTTATTTGTGCAAATAGAGGTGACTATAGTGCCAGTAAAGGGCACACCAAGACCCTTTAGCAAAAGCTGTCCATGATTAGCCAAAACGCAAACCAGGAATACTTTGTTTCTATCTGTAAGTTGTCAGGAGGTCATAACTGTTGTTGGGTAACGACTGGGAGGATGAATACCTCTTTCTTCCTTTCCAGAATTGAGTACCACAGTCATTCTATATTGGGTTACAATTCAAGAAAACTCAGAAAGCTTAGCTAAGTAAAATGTGACCATCCCCCAGCTCTACGCTTCTTTTTTTTTTTTCATCAATTCTTTGATTTAATTCCTTTCAGTTCATTTCCAAATTAATTCAAATGGGTGATTTTAACTTCGTCTTTTTTGTTTGTTTGTTTGTTTCCTTTCTGTATTTTCATGGTCATTTTACTATGACATACTTAGTAGATTTTTATATTCACTTTTATATCTGTTGTGGTTTAACCTCAGCCGGCAACTGAGCACCACACAGCCGCTTGCTCACTCCCCTGCCCCCCGGTGGGATGGGGGAGGGAATCGGAAAAGTAAAAGTGAGAAAACTTGTGGGTTGAGATAAGAATGGTTTAATAATTGAAATAAAATAAAACAGTAATAATAATAACGATAATAAAAGAATAGACAAAGCAAGCGATGCACAATGCAATTGCTCACCACCTGTCGACCAATGCTCAGCCAGTCCCCGAGCAGCAGCCCCCCCCCCCCCCCCCCGCCCGCCTTTCCCCCGC